CACAAAGAGCTCGGCAAACTTCTTGCGCAGGTTTCTGGCAATCCAGCCTCCAGGCGACCAACGCAGACGCACAGGGCTACGAAGAACTCAGAGCCACAACGATGCGAAAACCCTTTGGAGCAAGTCAACTGGTCATCGCCAAAACTCCAGAATCACGGTCCCGCCTTCAGCACCCACACGTGTGCTTTAGTGCATCGGAGAGGATGCAGGCCTGGGGAAGATCAGCCAGAGCAAAGCCGAGACAATGCTACACAAAGCTTATGCATGTTCTGTTCAAGCTACATTGCTGCAGCTGCCGTTTCTGCTCGCATGCTGCCAGAATTAGACACGCTGTCAGGGACAAGCGGGCTGAGCTGGCTACACCTTCTCGATCCACGCTTACCTGCAGCCGCATGTTGGGAAAGTAATGCTACGTAACCCATCCCACCTTACGTCTTCGCACATGGGATGATTTGGGACTGTGAAGTTTGCTGCATGTTGGCTTGGTAAGAACTTGCTAAGCGGGCTATCACCGTCTGTGGCAAGTCTACTACGACTACGCCTTTACCACGCATTTGGCAACCGGTCTGTCCACATGCCAGTGCACCCTCGACAGTGGACAGCTGAGCTTCAGGCGGCTCCCTGGCAATGATTCAATGACCTGAGACAGCTTCCCCAAAACCCAAACATTCAGAAATGCAGAAGTGAAGAAACCCATCAGCCCAGCAACAACCCGGCCCCGTCTGCCTGAAACACAGAGAGCTCGGCAGGCTTGCGGCGGCTTGCGGCATTCCAGCCTCCAGGCGACCAACACAGACGTACAGAACTCCAAGACAAGGATGGAACACGGAGGCGAGACAGCGGTCGACGTACAAAATCCAGAACTCCCAGACAAGGACGGAACGCGGAGGCAAGACAGCGCTCGACGCACAACATCCAGAACTCGCAGATGCTCGCAGTGTCGCGTGGGGCGGGAACGATGGGAAACCTAAAAAGAACTCAGAGCCACAAGGATGCGAAACCTTTTGAGCAAGTCATCTCACTCCGCAAAAGATCCAGATCGCCGTCCCGCCTTCAGTTTTGATATGTGGATCAACGCTTTGGGACCGGAAAAGGACGCAAGCCTGGCGAAGGAAAGCAGAGACCATGCTAAAGCCCGGCATCTTCTTCAACGACACGCTTCTGCTCGCATGCTGCCCCGCGCTAACCTGCAGCTGTAAGCTGGAAAAGTCGTGCCGAGCCATCTCACTCTACGTCTTCGTAGAGGGGATCACCTGGGAACGTAGCTCAAGGTTCAAGTCAACCAAGATGCCTGGACAAACAGTCTGTCCACATGCCAGTGCATCTCGACACTGGACTGCTGAGCTTCAGGCGGCTTCCTGGCAATCATTGAATAACCTGACACAGCTTCCCCAATCCCAAACATTCAGAAACGCAAGACGGCGAAACCCATAAACCCAGCAACAACCCTGCCTGAAGCACAAAGAGCTCGGCAAACTTCTTGCCGAGGTTTCTGGCAATCCAGCCTCCAGGCGACCAACGCAGACGCACAGGGCTACAAAGAACTCAGAGCCACAACGATGCGAAAACCCTTTGGAGCAAGTCAACTGGTCATCGCCAAAACTCCAGAATCACGGTCCCGCCTTCAGCACCCACACGTGTGCTTTAGCGCATCGGAGAGGATGCAGGCCTGGGGAAGATCAGCCAGGGCAAAGCCGAGACAATGCTACACAAAGCTTATGCATGTTCTGTTCAAGCTACATTGCTGCAGCTGCCGTTTCTGCTCGCATGCTGCCAGAATTAGACACGCTGTCAGCGACAAGCGGGCTGAGCTGGCTACACCTTCTCGATCCACGCTTACCTGCAGCCGCGTGTTGGGAAAGTAATGCTACGTAACCCATCCCACCTTACGTCTTCGTAACATGGGATGATCTGGGACTGTGAAGTTTGCTGCATGCTGGCTTGGTGAACTTGCTCAGCTGGCTATCACCGTCTATGACAAGTCTACTACGACGCCTTTGGCAACCGGTCTGTCCACATGCCAGTGCACCCTCGACACTGCGCTGCTGAGCTTCAGGCGGCTCCCTGGCAATGATTTAATGACCTGATACAGCTTCCCCAAAACCCAAACATTCAGAAACGCATAAGTGAAGAAACCCATGAGCCCAGCAACAACCCGGCCCCGTCGCCTGAAACACAGAGAGCTCGGCAGGCTTGCGTCGGCTTGCAGCAGTCCAGCCTCCACGCGACCAACACAGACGCACAGACCTCCAAGACAAGGACGGAACACGGAGGGGAGACAGCGGTCGACGTACAAAATCCAGAACTCACAGTCTTCAACGACAGGCTTCTGCTCGCATGCTGCCAGAACTGGGCTTGCAAGGAGGGACGACTAACTAGCGGCAGGCCGGGAAAGTAGTGTTTAGCCGTCTCACTTTACGTCTTCGTCGAAAGAATGACCTGGGAGCGTAAGTCGCGTTTAGGGCTTCTCTTACTCATGGTTCAAATCAGCGGACAATCAGCAAATCGACCAAGACGCCTTTGAAAACCTGCTTGTCCACATTCTAGTTCGTTCACCCGCGACACTGCGCTGCTGAGTTTCAGGCGGCTCACTGGCAATGATTGAATGACCTGATACAGCTTCCCGAATCCCAACAGATGCAGAAGTGCAAAGCAACAAAACCCATGAGCCCAACAACAACCCGGCCCCGTCTGAGAGCTCGGCAGACTTGCAGCGGCTTCCTGCAGTCCAGCCTCCAGGCGACCAACGCAGACGAACAGAACTCCAGACGAGGAGTCAACCGGTCAAACCCCCCGCAAGATCCAGAATGGCAGTCCCGCCTTCAGCGATGTGTGTTTGGTTCATACATGTTCATAACATCGGACAGGATGCAGGCCTGCGTAAGGAAAGCCAGAGGCAACCGGCAGAGACGATACAAGATAAACCCCTGGCATGTTTTCCAACATCCCACTGTACGAGCTACATTGCTGCCGCTGCCCGACCCGTTTCTGCCCGCATGCTGCCAGAGTTAGACCCACAGGGAGGGATAAGCCGACTGAGCTGGCTGCGCCAGCTTGATCCGCGCTTACCTGCAGCTGCAGGCTGGGAGAGTAGCGCTATGTAACCCATCTCACGTTACGTCTTCGTAAGCGGGATGACCCGGGAATGTGAGGTTTTGGATGGTTTGGGGTGTGGAGTTTGCTGCATGTTGGCTTGGTAACAGCTTGCTCAGCCGGCACAGTCTGTTGCAAGTCTACTACGACGCCTGTGGCAACCGGTCTGTCCACATGCCAGTGCACCCTCGACAGTGGACAGCTGAGCTTCAGGCGGCTCCCTGGCAGTGATTTAATGACCTGATACAGCTTCCCCAAAACCCAAACATTCAGAAACGCATAAGTGAAGAAACCCATGAGCCCAGCAACAACCCGGCCCCGTCGCCTGAAACACAGAGAGCTCGGCAGGCTTGCGTCGGCTTGCAGCAGTCCAGCCTCCAGGCGACCAACACAGACGCACAGACCTCCAAGACAAGGACGGAACACGGAGGGGAGACCGCGGTCGACGCACAAAATCCTCGAACTCACAGTGTCGTTCAGGGCAGGAATTCGCCTCCGCTTCCTGCCGAGAAGTGTCTGGAACAAGCAGACCCGGATCGGGCCTCCTTCCCCCTAACCCAACCCTTCCCCCTTGCAAAATTTTGTGACGCGACCCCCCCCCCCCCCCCCCCCGCCCTGTGGGACCCCCCCGCCAATCGCTTGGAGGAGCTGCAAACCGATGCCGTGGGGTGGCTCCTACAATGAAGTGAAACCCCCCCCACCCCCACCCCCCCCCCCTCCCCCCCTCCTCCTCCCCCTCCCCCCCTCCCCCCTCCCCCCTGCCCCCCTCCCCCCCACCCCCCCCTCCCCCCCCTTTAAACCCCGCTGCCCTTCCTCCCCTTTTTTTGCGAAACCCTCTTTCCTCCTTTCCTGTCCTGGGACCGGCCCGGCTGCCGAGGCGGCGCGCGAAAGCGTTTACAATTATCTTTGAGCAAGTCAACCCTAAACATCCGAAATCGCAGTCCCGCCTTCAGTTTGCAATAGCTTGCATGTGTGCCCCATCGCATCGGACGATACAGGCCTGGGGAAGGACAGCAATCGGCAGAGACAATTCCAAAAGCCTTGCATGCTTTTCAACGCCTCTCTGTACGAGCTACATTACTGCAGCAGGCCGAGCTGCTTCTGCATGCTGCCAGAATTAGACCCGCAGGGAGGGAAAAGCAGGCTGAGGTGGCTACACCTTCTCGGTCGCTAACCTCCAGCTGCAGGCTGAGAAAGAGTGCTCGTACGTAACTCATCGGGGGACGAGCTGTGAATGTTGAGTTTTGGGTTTGGGGGTTGTGTCGGCTTACCAAGAACTTGCTCAAGCCTTAGCGTCTGTTGGTCCACACACCGTCGCTCCATGTCGCTCCCTCGACACCGCACTGCTAAGCTTCAGGCGCCCCAGTGACTTGAAGCAAACAGCTCGGCAGGCTTCCGGCGGTTTCCGGATGTCTAGCCTGGAGGCTAGCCGGCCAACGCGATAGCCGATAGCGGCATATAGCGGCTACGTCGGGCCTCTTCTGCAGCAGCAGTGCCGCTCCCGCAGCCCAAGACAAGAAGGGCAATCCGATCATACTAGCAACAACCGCTTGATGCCAAGTAGAACTGCGGGATGCAGCTCAAGCGAAGCGAATATTCAAGAAGTCAAACAAATCCCAGTAGTGCAGCTCCATGCAGGACTCTCAGGGCCAGGAAGGAAGCTACATTGTTGAAGTTTTTGCGGAGCACATCACAAGGTATGCAGCTCGGGCTTTGCTGAACAAGTCAGAACGGTCCGCAGCGCAGGGCCATGTCTGCGCTGTGGCCGCGGCAGAACAAGAGAGTGGTGGGAACAACTCGTGCTCACAGCTCGTAAGTGCCCGATGAGCAGGAAAGGCGTTGCTAGTGCTGGTCGCCTGGTCGCATCACTCTTCGTACTGGCAAGAAGTTCACGGCCATCAGAGTTGCTAGAAACTCCAAACGTCAGGAGTCAAGTCTTGGACAATCTTCTGGTCCATTCGCCCCAGGTTTTCAGTGAGTACCCTGCGGGAAGCTGAGTCCCGTGATGCTTCGAGGATGTACTCTACGGCACGGATTGTGCTCTCAGCACAACGATAGTGATGGCCCTTTCCCATCAGGCCTGTTCTGCGCATGACCCAACATGGCAGTAGCAACTGTGTTTCGGTGACCCACTCGTGCGATGTGCCCCGCACATGGACCATGGCGACACAATGTTGCAGGGCGTTGTCAGCCACCTTCTCGCAACCGCTGATCCAAATTGGATTTTTCACCCAGACACCTGACACGACAAGCCCTACGTCCACTTGTACAGAAAAGTCCAGAACTGACGCTGGGAGCGGCTCTTGCCAAAAGTCGAGCAGCACCGCACAGCGAAATGGGCATGGAAGACCTTTATCGGACAATGTCTTGAAATAGTTCAGGCCAGCACTAGCTCCGAATGAGTGACCCATCAACGTCAGGTCTTCGGCATCACCGCTGCGCAGCACGCGTGCCAACAAGCTGGGCCCAGGCAGGCCTGTCGGACTGGACCGCGACAGGGCCTGGATAGCTTGCACCGTAGCCATGAGCTCCTTCAGTCGAAACTCCAACTGTGGAGCACGGAACTCCACCAACTCCTCCCGCGTGATGTTTTTGGGGGGCTCCTTGTAGTGGATTTTCTCCCCACTAGAAGAGGTAGCAAGGATGCTACTCCCGTCTGCATGCTCCATCGCCAGGACGATCATGCCCAGCGAAGCCACATCTCGGCAGAACTGAGTGTACATCTCACAAGAGCCCCAAAGCCCCGAGCAGAACACAACAATTGGCCACTTCCCGCCCCCCTCCGGACTTGCAGGAGGTCGAGCTCTGTCCGGTAGCTTGCTCCCGCCAATCAAGCTTCGGAGCGCCAGGAGGGGGATGCCTTTGTATGCCGAAAACGCCTTCAAAATTTCGTCACGGATCAAGGGCTCCACCTCCGCCCGCATTGGTGCGGCATCAGCCTCAGCAGGGTAGAAGGCTTGCAGCAAGATGTCCTGCATGCAGTGCCCATCCAAAGGCAGCCGTTCGCGGAAGCAACCTAGCGGAGTGCTGCGGTAGGTTTTCGGCCGGCGCGGACGCACCACGCTAAGGGCCATGGCAGATAGTCGTTTGTTTGAGTATCCGAGGCGGAAGCAACTTCTGGGGCGCTTTTCTGTAGTGCCGTACCTTGTGCTACTCCCGGGTCTCCAAGCAATGTAGAAAATGACCCCTCCCAGATCTCTCTCTGTATCAGCATCTGTATGAGCGTATATATGTAGACACACACACACATGCGCAAACGTGTATAACATCCTTTGGGGTGCCCCTTTGTACCATGGTACCTGCTTGAGTTGTACAGCAACTCCCATAGCAGCTTGCCAGTTCAGATAAGCCGACAGAGCGCATGTTGGATGCACATGTCTTTTGTCTGGCTGTAGCGCAACCAAACTAAAGAAGCCGATAGATCCCATCTAACAATCATCAACATGTGCTCATTCACTTAGGTACGGGTGCATAGAAGCCTATTGAGCCACCTGGACATGGGTACTTCCTAGAATAGTGGTACCCCTTATGCACTCGAAAATATGACAGTCCTGCTGATAGGATCCCCAAAATAGGTACCCCTACTCTTTGAAACCCCTATCAGCCATTCCTCCTTCACAGTCCTAGTATCACCATTATAGTTGTGCTGGCATTACAGCTTTACTGGGTTTCAGAATATCATGATGGTTCTTGCGCTGCACCGCGGCAGCTCAGGCCTCACCTCAATGCTCTGAGGAAGCCGGAAGACTGAATTCCTACCTCCGGTCTCACGCAGCGGCTATCTCCAAGCAGGAAGGTACCTCGCTGTGAGACGAATGCAGTCTACTGGCAAACTGCCCTCGACTCCTACAGCGTTATATTGCGGCGCACGGGCTCGGCCCCGCTGGTTGCTCCATGGTCAAGCCGGAAAGCTTGCGGTAGGCGAACCATGCCTCACAGCATGGAGCGCAAGTACATGGAGAGTGTGTGTAAGGTTTCGGGGTAGCTGCTGGGTGCTTGCCTTGAAGCTTTTCAACTGGGTCTCGCACTTTGGTCTGCTTGTAGCGCGCCGGATCAAACCTTTCCGAGATGCGTTTCGCTTCACCCCCCGCAATTGCCCTTACCCTCGGCTCAGAACAGCTCAGAGCGGGACCCTGAAATTATAGGGATTGAGTCTGCCGACCGCACAGCGGGTGTTTCCTGCTGGCACATCTTGAACTTGGGTAGGCAGTCGCGGCCAGAGTGATGCAAAGCAAAGTGGGAGCTCTAAACCCCGAAAGGGAAGAATAACTCTAAAACCTTGTGCTGAATAAGCACAAGTCTCTCATGACTTGAGGAACAGTCAAGTCCCTCCATGATCTCTTTAGGGAAGCCCCGAGAAGCCCTTCAACCGTACCTTCAAGCCCAACCACCCAACTACAAGGAGCCACTTTACCCTAACCCTAAACCCGAAAAAAACCCTCAAACCCACCTGGAGGCCAGCGATTTCCAGCGCCTCGTCCAAGTCCAAAGTCCCTCCTTCCGGCTGGCCGTTGAAAAGCCTGGGAAGATCCGCAGGTAGGGTTCAGGGGTTAGGGTTTAGGATCTCTGGTCCAGGGAGTTCTCTTTGAGGCAGTACGTGAATCCTAAACCCCTGAGCCTTAAGGGTGTAGACATTGCGTTAGGCCTGTCTAATCGATTAAGATCATTAAGCATGGACTGGATGGTCTTGGGGATGTAGGGTTCAATCGCTGAAGGCTCCCTTAAGCAAAACGGGAATGCTGGTTCCGCAGAGGGGTCAGCTTCGACAGCCCCACCTTGTGAACCCTCCCCAAGCCAGCCTGTAAGCTATGTCTCTGTCTTTCGTCCATCGTACCTTGGCGAAGTATTCTGCCGGATGCGGTGCTCCCAGCTCGGCCTGCGTTTGAGATCTCTTAGGTGCTGGCCCCCTCCCCCGTCTGGTTCAGGGCGGCATCGAAGGTTGCGACGTCACATTCGCCAGACCTTTACATTGCTAAGGGCGAAGGCTCTGTCACAGCCCGCCTCACTCCTTACTCTTGCTTATGCGAGTGCATGGCTCCATGGCTTCACAATGCTTCACATGTACAAACAGGAATCAGAGGGCTCCTCGCAACTCCCACGTAAGCACCAGTCAGTCAGACTCTGGGAGCGGTGCCCGAAATAGTAGAGGATTCCTGCGCGGAAACCCCCTGCCGCATGCCCCCTCCCCCCCCCCCCCCGACACAAGACGCAAAGAAGAGACGTCCTCGTCCGGCGGCTTTTCCAGACACGTCAATGACACCACTGAACATGTCGCCTGCCCAGCTTGCAGACCCCCTTCAGCAACAACACGGGAAGCTTCTCCGCCTGTGGCGTACAGATTGGTGCCCACATATTTACCTGCACCGCCGAGCCGGGTGGTAGGCAACTGATGGCACCCACGGTAACTCAGCAGCACTCCAGCAGGCAACGACCAGGCACCTCCTTTGCTTGCGTCGAACCCGGCTGCTGTTTGGACTTGCTGTGAAAACATCCTCCTCGGCACCAAGGCTTCACGTAAACCCTCCAGCTGCATAGAGAAAATTCCAAGCTGATTCATTGAGCCGCAGGCTGAGTCTGCCCTGGCCAGCCAGCCAAAGTGCATTTCCTTGAGCCTACAATTGCGAAGAGAATCCTCCAGCACTTGGGCCCAAAGCCCCATGAAACATCAGACCATTCTCAGCCCTAACGGTCCTAAGAACAGCTCAGAACCCCAGTCCTGAGAAACGACAGGTTTATGGCAGAGCATGGCTGCAAGCCGCAATTCCGGATTTCTCAGAATTCGAGACGCCTTTGGCACCTATATCCCCCTATATATATATATATATATATATATAAAAATCTCTCTCTATCTATCTATCTATCTATCTCTCTCTCTCTCTCTCTCTCTCCTTTAAGGGAGTATATAGGGTACCTCATTCCCTCATTCCCTACTAACCAACAGTAAGCCAAGCCTGTATGACTCGCCTCTTTTGGAACTTGCATGTGCGTGATTCTCATGGAGATGATGTGTTTCAGCACTCCTTCGCGGAAGCCACTCACTATGGAGACCTCTGATACATGATGGGCCATGATGGCCGTACTTCGTAGATCTTCGTATCACAGAGTGCCAAGCATCGCCTACCTACGAAAGCAAAAAGCTCCCAGAAAATCTCGCCTGGAATGGCCCGTGGCAAGCCCACGATACACATTCTTGGAGCTGCTCAGTTGAGCTTCGTACGCAAAATGTTAAGAAACTTGCCGGCTTCTCTTCTAAAAAGCTCCTGCGCTTGTGTAAAAAGTGCACTAGGGCTGTTTTTGTGTGCTCTAGCTTGAGAGTTCACCACAGGACAGGGCGTTTTTGCTAAGCGAAACATCAGAAGAAAAGCGTGGGCAAAAGGAGTGAGACATGTGTCCATGCGATCCGGCCCTCACCTAAGGCGAGTTGTCGTCGCGGTCTTGACTCGGCTCCAAGCGAACTTTCCAAATACAGGTAAAAATTATATATATATATATATATATACATATATATATATATGTATATATATAACATGCATTTATAGCATGAAACTATATACTTCATGTATACCCCCAAAACCTTCTAAGCCCAAAACATCCCGCTCCCCTGAACCTTCACACCGGAGCCTGGCATCAGGGGACAAGCTGGTCTTGGCAATAGTTGCCATCTCCATCCGAGGTCCCCCCAAAAGCCAACGAACTCCGTCGGTCAAGACCTTCACGTTGAAAGCTGAAACAGGCGCTAAGCGCTCAAGGCGAAACGCTGTCTGAAAATAACTGGAGCCACCTGCTGAACTTGCCAGCCCTGTACATGTGGCACTATGGGGAATAAAATCATATGAACCCCCTGACTGGAGTCCTGGGTAGAAACGATGGGTAAGGAAAATCTCGCAGTGTCACTATGGATCGCTGCGAGATATGCTGAGCAGGTATCTACAAGCATTGGCTTGGGCATCGCCGTGGAAAACATGCCGGCCAACCACACCACTCTGTGCAGTCGCACGCTGCTAGAAAGATCCCAAGGTGGCCCCAACGGGCTTCAGGGTTCAGGGGTTTAGGGGTTTGGGGGTTAGGGTTTAGGGTTTAGGGTTCTTGTTGCCTCACACTGGCCTGCGTTCATGCGCAGTGAACTGCGTTGTGGCAAAAAGCGTTCTACGTATCTGCAGCTGCACGCGACCTCGATGATTTGACAGAATAACTCAAAGATCCAGGGGTGAGCAATCTGAGGGTACTAACACTCCATAAGGCCCGGGCAGCCAATTCCTGGCACAACAGAGGGTTTAGGGTTTAGGGTTTAGGGTTTAGGGTTTAGGGTTTAGGGTTTCGGGTTTCGGGTTTAGGGTTTAGGGTTTAGGGTTTAGGGATAGGGTTTAGGGTTTAGGGTGTAGGGTAGTAACAACAACGTGAGATCTTGTGAAGCTTGTGGCTGAGATTCGAACCTCCATGGTCGCTCTTCACCCAACAGCGGCACTTTGCGCTGCCTGGCGCAATGGATTCATGCTTCAGGTCTAGGGCTTCGGGTTTAGGGTGTAGGGTTTGGAGGTTAGGGTTATAGGGTGTAGGGTGTAGGGTTTAGGGTTTAGGGTTTAGGGTTTCGGGTTTCTGGTTTAGCGTTTAGGGTTTAGGGTTTAGCATGGTTTAGGTAGCAAATCTTTGAGCCTTCCTGGAAAGTGGAGGTTCATGATAAGTAGGGTTATAAGTACCCTACATTAAGGTTGCCACGACAAGAGCTGGCATCCTGCTTCTTCTTCCTCTTACCGATTCTTTGAGCCGTTCGAGGTCCTTCTTCAGTTGCCGGTGCGTCTGTGCAACTTCTTCTGCCCAAATCCGGCATGCCAAGCTGATTCCGGAGAGTTAGTCAGCCAAAAAACGATCGCGAGAGCTCCGAGGAGCTCGGAAGCGATCAAAGCTCAGAAGCTGCTGTAGGGCCTGTCCGGCGGTCTGCGCCACCGCGGTGCCGCCTCGCATTGCCACAAGCGTGGATCTGCTTCAAAGCAGCTGGTGGATCCCTCACTTTCTTGTAAACCTGCAAACTGGAAAGGAAAGGCACTGCTGGCAGCGACAACGCCCACTGGCGATGGAATTTTGCAGCACGAGACAGCTGCACAGACTTGCACAGAAGTAGTCAGACATTTGCGGCCCCCGTCCGCCTCCTGCGCTGTTGGCGCCCAGGAGACTGCAGTCCATGTTTGCATCGCACTGGCCTGGTGCGGTTTAGGGTTTTGCGTTGAGTGCAAGGTAGTTTATGCACAGGGTTAGCCTGGCGCGCATGCGTGATATCGTGCGCCTGTGAGGTGTGCCGCAGCTCGCTCACCTCTGCAGAGTCAAACGCCTGGCCAGCGAGTTCGGATCCATTTATAAGACCAAAGCCATCGCTGGCACAAGCCTCCTCCTGCAGGTCCTCATCCGACGGGGATGCTATGTCCATGCAAACAACATCACCTGATCTGAGGCGTTGTGCCATCGGGGCTTGCAAGTCATGCTTCTCCCCTGTGGCCTCGAGATGCACTGCTCTCGGCCGGCATATGGAAGGGATCCTCAGGCATGGTGATCGGCTGTCAGCTACTTCGCACAGTCTCTTTACCCACAGATTCTCACGCGTCCTGTCTCGCGCGGCTTGAAGAGGGACTCTCCTCAAAGGCTGCCGAAGATGAGGACTCCGATGTCCATGTCCCGTAGGGGTCTGGTACCTCCCCAGGTTCCGATTTCTGCACAGCAAGAGGCTGCTGAATGAATCCTGCTTGGGCACGTGGGCAGGTCTCACCCAAGCCCACGCACCACCATCGCTATCCATCCCTGTCATCACATCTTGCAAAGGGGAGCAAAACCGAGACATGTTCGATGACCATGCTTGCCTGCAATTGCCGTCCGCAGTCGAGCTGGGAATGCATCGAAAGCTGCCTCGCCTGCTTCACCTCAAGGCGCACGTTCATGAAAACATCTTGTGGATAGCTCTGGCGTCCTGCTCCAAGCCCTGCACCACTCAACCCCAAACCCTGAACCCCCGATCACCGCCCCGTGCTGGAGCCCTGAAGCTATTCACAGATTTCGGTTCAGGTGACTCTCTGGTGTCAGCGCTTTGACTGGCGACGCGCAATGCATATCAGAGATGTCTGTCTCCTCAGCTGCATGCTCCGCAAGTGTTGTCAAGCAAGTGGCACACCAAAAACACTGCCGCCAAGGCACATCGAAAACCTCGTCGCTAAAGTGGAAGGGTTTTTGCGGCCAGTCGTCCTGTGTTTCACAGGAGATGCAACTGGCAGTACAAAGGTGCTGTCAAGGCAACCCTAAACTAAACCCTAAACCCTAAACCCTAAACCCTAAACCTTAAACCCTAAACCCTAAACCCTAAACCAATCACTGACCTGACTTTCATGGATGCTGGTGAGGTTGGGCTCCACTTTCCGAGACCACGTCATGGTGCGGCCTTCAGTCCAAAGGGTTTAGGGTTTAGGGTTTAGGGTTTAGGGTTTAGGGTTTACGGTTTAGAGTTAGGGCTTAGGGTTTAGGGTTGAGGGTTTAGGGCAAGCCTACCACAATATTGAGGACGGAGCCCAACGCGTCCGAGCTTATGTGGAGTCGCAATGTTCCCAGGCCTCGCACGCATCGCAGTTTCGGCCTTCTAGCACTGTAGCCCGTGATTGGCGCCTTCTTCGTCGCGGAGGTCTGAGGACCTTACTCAAAGCAACAGCAAAAGCAAAGGCAGCAGCAAAAGCAACAGCAAAAGCAAAAGCACAAACAAAGGCAAAGGCAAAAGCAAAGCAAGGCAACTGCAGCGTGGAAAGACCCCATGTGCCCCGACTAAGCCCTCCACTGTCTCGCGGGCGGCCTCTCCACGTCAAACATGTCCAGCACAAGGTCCGACAAGGCCTGCATGCAGAAGCCTCAAGGCCCTGACTTCACCAGAGCACCCATATGCACCCATTCCTGGCCTCGCTGTCGCTGTCCAGGCCTCTGTTGGAAGGCATCGCACAGGTTGGTCGCAGTGCGTCAAAGGCCTGGTAGCAGTGTGGTAGGAGAGGCAAGGGGCTTTTTCGTCACAGACAGGTACAGAAGCTGCGCCACTCCCTGCCGCCTCGTTCTGCAAAGAACCTGGCGTCATGCACACATCCAGCCTGCCTCTATTGGCAAAAGACCTGCGTGCCTGGCAAGTCTTGTGACAGGTCGAAGTCAAGCCCATCGGCATCTTCTCGCCACTTGAAGCCTGGCATGTGACTTCTCGATTTTAAAGTCTCGACCTTTACAGAAATCAGGGGAGTGGGCAGCTGGCCTTCCAAGCCGGCAGCCATTGGCTGGAACGGGCTGCTGGGTCTTCCCGACAAACCGAAGCCGCCTCCACTTCGCTCCACTTCGCTCCGCTTCGCTCCGCTTCGCAGGTCCCAGTTTGGGTTGGCAGTAAGGGGGCGCTCCAGACTGATCATCAAAAGGCAAACGCTGCTTCCAAGGCCTGTAGGCTTGTTGTCAGCATGGCCCAGTTGCACCGTTGCCTGGCACTTGTGGCACTTCTCAGGGGGTTGCTGAAGCACTGGACAACGCGTTGAAACCATGGTTCCACTCGACAGCTTCCGGCACGCCCCAAAACTGAGGCACTAAACTTCAACCCTGAGATGACACCCTCGGGCCTCAAAACACCTGGGAGTGTCTGGCCGCGTCACAGGCTCCTGGCACCACGCAACTCACGGAAGACGGCTCTTGCGGCCTCATCCCTTCAGCCCTGAACGCGAGTGCTCACAAGCTGCCAGCAGCGTCGGTGTAGCTTTATTCGCCCCAGTGCCAGTGGGTTCTTCTTTATTTTTCGATGAAAAGCCCCCCCAAAACCCTCAGATCTCAGATTTCCGGGGCACCTTCTCACATTGAGAAGTCTCAGCCTTGAAGCTGAAGCCTGTCCTTGGCAGCTCCCGCATGCAATCTCGAAAATTTAGGGTTTAGGGTTTAGGGTTTAGGGTTTAGGGTTTAGGGTTTAGGGTTTAGGGTTTAGGGTTTAGGGTTTAGGGTTTAGGGTTTTGGGGTTTCAATCCTGGCACCAAGATTAGCCGGGCTTCTCATTGAAAGCAATCCCATCCTTGTCATGTCCTCGAAGAGGAGACAGGTCAAGAGAACCGAGTCTGGAAGAGTCTGGGGCAGACTCGGTTACTGTGAAATAATCCTCCAGCACGCATCCAGAGAGGAACGACCTTCCGGGCGGAGGGGCATCCTTCTCCCAGCGCGACAGCTCAGCAGTCTTGGGCCGATTCCCTTCTCCAAGCTCCGGGTCCTTTGGGAGGCTGGCAGCTGTCTTCTCGTGCTTCTTTTCGGCCGTGCCCTTGGCCTTCGCTTCCGCGCCTTTGGCGCCGGATGGCTTGCTGACTGTGGAGAGAAGCGCCAGGATGAACGCATTCAGCACCGGCAGCAGCACCATCTGAAAGACGGCATTCACGAGGGCACCGTAGAGCCAGTATGTGCCATCACTTCGGGACACCGAAGAGAGAAAGCCAGCTATGAACACCATACTGAGAGCTAGATAAAGCAGACTTGCAACCCAGTATACACGCACTCGTCTCCTCCATCGCTGGACGCGGTGCCACTCACTGTACGCAGCCTCCCCTTCTTTCGACCAGTCATAGTGACGCAGCCAGCGAAGGCCCAAAACGACAAGTTGCCCGAAAAAGCACGAGACCGCGGCAGCGCAGAGAGGCTTCACGAGAGCTTCACGGGCCTCACAGGCATCCTGCATATCCGGAGAATATTGGAGGACGGCTCCCAGGGCTTGGAGCACAAAGACGTTCAGCGCCATGGGACCAATCAGCTTGGCCGAGAACACGAGAACAACCGACAGCCTGGAATAGAAAAGGCTGCTGGCCAGAAGGCCGGTCATAGGATGCAGGGCTGGCAGCAGTAGAAGGAACCGCGTCAGAAGGTTGGCCCCAGTGAAGCTGCAGACCGCCCGGGTGGCCGAGGCAAAAAGGTCCCGCTGCTCCGCCAGGTCCAGGGCTGCGCGGCGCAGGGGCGTCGGGTCGCGGTCCGTAGGGTCCTGGGCCAACAAAAGGCTGAGGCCCAGGGTGTCCACGTCCACCTCAGGAGATCTCAGGAGACTTCGACTCAAAGCACAAGCAACGCGCAAACACGCACACAAGTGTGGCAAAACACGGATACGACACGAGACCACTCGACTTTACAAGCGCCAAGGCCCCAAAAAACCGTCTGAGGCCCTGGCCCCCACACGGAAGGCTTGCAGACACCGGAAGCAGTAGGCCATCACCCGCTCCAAGACCGGCTCTTGCCTCGAAAGCGGCTTCTCCAGCTCCAACTCTTCCAAGTCTTCCAAGGCCAAGGCCTCGAAGGGCTCCGAAGGAGGCTCCGAGAGAAGTTCTCGGCTCCAGCCGCAAGTGTCGGAATTCGTCGCATCCCGATTTGCAGCGAGGGCTGAAGCCACAATGCTCAGAACGAGCCCTGCCCACAGCGCCGAAGCCGGGACTTGGCGCCACCAGTTGGAGTTCTGGCCCAGGGATGCAAAGGAAAAGACAAAGGTCTCGGTGGCGCAGTCAAAGGCACCAGTGAAGTCCAAGTCCACGGATCGCATGGCCGCGAAGATGCTGAGGTGGGTCGTTTGGCAACTGATCGAACTCATCGAATCAGAAACTTCAAACACTCGCGACACACCTTCTCGCGACCACCTCAGATTCCTGGGATCCCAGAAAACGCAGACTGCGCGACTGTCGCCGTTGCCGTTGAGGGTCAGAACGATCGGTTCTGCGAGCTGCTTTTCCAGTGGATTTCCGTCGGCGTCGAAGAGCGAGAGGCTCAGCGGTGCAGCCGCAAGATCTGTTCCATCCTCTGCCTCGCCAGCACCAGCAGCCGACAGTAGCCTTGTCATATCGGGGCTGAGCGGCCCCGCTGTCAGGGCGACCAGGCCTCCTCCAAGTTGCTGAAGAACGGCTTGTGGAACACTGACGTTGCCAGACTCTCCCGTGCTGAGCTGGAATGCATCGGTGGTGGTGGATGGCTTTAACACGGCTACTGTCATCTCGCTCCCATCCGCGCTTCTCACTGAAGAGACCACCGTACCATTCGGGCTCTCACCCACCTGGGACAAGATCTGCTTTGCCAGGGTTTGCTCTTCCTGTAGAAGAGCTACGGCGGCCACTCTCGACACCTCCAGAAGTTTCGACTTGTTCACCCAATCGTCTTCCAACAGGTCCAAGGCAGACACGAATGTGGATGTTGTCCACGTGAATGATGTTGAGAACGAAGTCGACGTTCTCGTGGAGGACAGCACAGTAGATGTCGTGTGCGTCAATGATGTTTGTGTTGCGGTGTGGCTGCTTGTAGATGTCTGGGAAGTGGTGACTGTGGTCGTAAAGGTCGTAGCTGTCAACGTGCTACGTGTGATGGTGCTCGTCCCTGAAGTTGACGAGACCGTGAAGGACTGCGTTGTGCTGGAGACGCTGCTACTGGTTGTTGTGAGTGTAGACGTTTCTGTTCTTGACGTGGCTGTTGTAGACACCGTTACGCTAGACGATGCAGTTGTGGATCTTGTCACAGTTGCCGTCAACGTGGTGGTGCTGGTGGAAGTGGTCTCTGTTGTACTTGTTGAAGTTGCTGTTGTGGAAGTTGTGAATGTGTTGGTAAACGATGCAGTTGTCGTGGTGGAAGCTGTTGTCACACTCGACGTACTTGTGAAAGTAGGCGTCTGTGTTGTTCTTGTCATCGTAGCTGTAAGCGAAACTGTTGTCCCTGTAGTCGACACACTGGTCCCGGTGGTGGTGTGTGTTCTGGTTGTTCTGGTTGTGGTGGCACTAGTGCCAGTAGTTGTCGGAGAGGTGGTGGTGAGTGTTGTGGTGTCCTGCAGTCATAAAACTTGGAACATGAAAGGACGCGAGAAGAAAAGGACGCGAGAAGAGTCTAGCTCCCGTCCTCTACTTTTGGCGGTCTGGTTGTAGTGTCCTGGTTCAGACCCACATGCAACCCCTGCCCCCCTCACTGCATGTCGAATGCACGAATGCACTCAATTGAGTGACGCATGGGGACGTCGCCTCTATCTTCAGACGCCGCTGTGCGGCCTCAAGAACTACATGCGTCCATCAATCTCTTCTGGGAATCATGGCACCATATGCTCCCTCTGTCATGCAGAGATGACAACGATCTTCTGATATGCTACTGTCACAGATCCACATCAGACGTGTAGCGAAAGACAGGCCTGGGTGTCTTCACTTCGAAAGGGCGTCCTTCAAAGCCGAGAATCTGGTAGCAAGGACCCGACATGAAAACAATGCGAGAGGCTTAATGTGGTGTATATGGCCGCTTTCAGGATGCTACTTGAAGGTTCCTGGGTAGTTCTGAGTGCAGATCCCATCAACAAGGTGCCCCCATATTCAGGCATGTGTAACCCGACTTATCTCTGCCCATCAGCCCTTTTGATGTTGCCACCAGCGCTGCGGGCTGGCGGTGCTGACAGCATCCATGCATCAAGCGAGGGCTTGCAGTTCCACAGGAGCATAGCAGCGTAACATGCTTGTTCCTTCTCTCAGTCACAGACAACGTAGCATTGTCCGGACATCCGAGCTTCTACAGGCTTCTCAACCCGACAGAACGTCGAGGTGACTCTCCACGATCGCCAGAGTCAAGTCACTGCCATTCAAGGATGCCGGTCCTGTGTCCAGCTTCGCCCCTCACATAGTGCCTGGCCAAGTTGCAAGCGTTGCTGCACAACATGGCCCCGAGATCATGCTGCTTGGGCATTCCCGCGGGACGGCTATGGCATATTCTAACATGCCGTGCCCCCATGCCACCCGAGCAGGCGAGAGATGAAGGTGAGGCCCGGTAAGCTTGGGCATTCGTGCCTTCGTAGGTGCTGCGTTCCACGCAGACCTTGTCAGCTGCAGCGCCGAGAATAACGTGATGAAGAAAAACTTTTGCTAGCAGGTAACATGGCTGACGATGTGAGGACTAGGTGAGGCTTCGCTTGGGGAAATCATGGTACAGGCTTGGCAGGCTTCGCAGTGGAGCTCGTGAATTGCTAAAAAGAAGGCACGCCAGGCACGACCAGTGGTAGAGCTCAGGCTGTGTCCTCCAGCATCTACGCGGGCGGCGAGGCTCAAGACCTCAAGGTACGAAATGGCTTTATCTTTAAGCATCGGCGGAGTCAGACAAACCCAATGAATCAAACGCGCGCCACTTCTCCCATGTAGGAGCGAGACCAGAGTTGCAGCTGAGCAAGACTGCGCATGACACTGCTAAATTTGGTTTGTCCTGTCAACTCAGTATCCCGGCTGCTGCTATGAGAAGCCATATCCTGCGTGAGCAAAGCGTGGGCCAAACCAGAAAAACTGCTAAATTGCAATAATTAGACCCCTGCAAACAAGACCTACTCTTTTGGCACAGGGCTCGCATGCCTCTTTGAAAATGGCACGCGTTGTTGTTCTCTCTCTCTCTCTCTCTCTCTCTCTCTCTCTCTCTCGCTCTCTCGTTAAGTGGGGCATGGGGTCAGGCCCGGGCGAATACGTCCGCCCCGATCTTCCGAGCAAGCCAGTCGCAGAGACACTGTAGTGGACATGTGAAGTCAAGACCGCCTATACACCCCCCCCCTGCCCTACTAAGATCTCTAGCGCTCTCTCTCCCTCTTTCTCTCACACACTCTCTGCCAACGACATGCCTACCGCCACTGTGTCACTGAGAACATGTACACGCATGCCTCCAGCTCATCCAACTCAGTCGAACCTGGCTCAACCGCAACCAGCGACACATGAAAGGACACAAAAAAGGCTGGATCTAAGCTCCAGCCTGTGCTTCAGAAGATGAGCTTTCTCGCAAACATGCTTGGGCGTGACCCGCTCAGCATGTGACGTGTGACAGCCACCAAGCTGCATGAGCTGTGTGCTCTCGGCTCAAGAATGCCAGCGCGGCGGTGAAGCCCACAGCCATGCACCCATTCGGCCTTCAACACCGCCAGAATCACAGATGAACGATGGATCTGCAGCAAAACGGATGGAATTACAACTGGGCACCGGGACCTTCCAGGGACTCCCAAAAACTGGGGAAGGATGAGATGAACACCTGCAAGCATTGCGGCATGGTCGTTTCGAATTCTGGCGTGCATGCTACCAAGAAAGTTCAACATCTTGGGAGCAATGAGGGCAGCCTGTAATATTCCGGAGCCCGCAGCGCAGAGCCGCTAGCGAAAAACTACAGCGCGGTGGCCGCTGTACGAGTGTGAAAGGTCAGATGGCCCTTTTCATGGGTCGTGTGCAGCGTGGAGGTGAACGCGCAACATGGTGATTCTGGGATTCTGCTGACATGTCATCGTGAGGGCGAACCCTTGAACAGCTGGCGGGCGGCGTGCTGCCAGAGCTGCACCGACTCGTAGTGTCTTCTACATCTGTAAGAAAGCCCCCTGAAGGCCGGACAACGGCCCATGCCTAAAGAAAGAAGACGAAATACAACTACGAACACGAAGACGCACGTCGTCACGCACACACTGGGAATGAATGCTTATCGAGGCATGGCATCTATCTGAAAACTACGAATCTCGAGCCCACTCGTGCCCCCTCGTCTACCGGGCTGCAACTTCTTTTTGGATCACCTGTCGAGGTTCAGCAGCGCCAAGCGAGCATTTGCAACTACGAGTGCCCCAAACGACCTGCTCCGCCAGTAGCGGCTAGTAGCTGCTAGTATGCCAGTGTCAGAACTGGCCTCCTCACTAAAAAAAGAAACCTCATCTTCAAAACCTGACCAACGTCTCTTCTGGCAACACTGGCAGAGCAGGGGCGGCGGCCTTCATTAACGCTAGCGAGCAGGCCGAGGGTCGGCCCACATCAAGCTGATGTAGGGGGTTGTTCGAAAGCAATAATTGTCTCTCCCTTTTTTTTTTTTTTTTTTTGGGGGGGGGGGGGGGGGGGGTTGGTGAGCTAGTGTTAGAGGTTAATGTATCGTCTTTAGACTTCTTGGAGGACCATTTGGTAACGAGACCCACTAAAGCAACTGCTCAGACAACCCCCAAGTGCGAAGTCCGTGGCGAACGCTGGAAGTCCAAGGCTAACCGCGGCGCCCGAGAGCTTGACACCGGGCTTGGCGCGGGGCTTGGACCTCCTGACCATACAAGAGGTGGGGTTCGGGATTTAGGGCTTAGGGCTTAAGGCTTAGGGTTTAGGGTTTAGGGTTTAGGGTCTAGGGTTTAGGGGAGGCTGGGGTTTGGGGCTTACTTTGTAGAGCTTGGAAAGGTTTTAGGGTTCAAGGTTTAGGCTTTACGAGGGCTTTCGGGAGGGGATGGTGGGGGAGGGGATGGTGGGGGTGTGCTGGGGCTTTGGGGTCAGTGCTCTGATGGTTTGAGGCATTGAAGGTCGTCAGGTCTTAGAGGCTTGGGATTTCAGGGTTTTTGGTTGAAGCAATGCCCTAAACCCTAAACCCCTAACCTCTGAACCCTAAACCCTAAACCCCAAACCCTAAACCCCAAACCCTAAACCCTAAACCCCAAACCCTCCCTGGTTCTCCTGAACCTCTGCCGGCATGAAGGCGCCGACGCAATCGCTCCAGGCAGTGCGCCGACGCAAGCTGGCATGGGTTGAAGATAAACTCCTAGTATAACCTTTTCCCCCGTTGATTGAATTAGGGTTTAGGGTTTAGGGTTTAGGGTTCAGGGTTCAGGGTTTAGGGTTTAGGGTTTAGGGTTTAGAGTTTAGGGTTTAGGGTTTAGGGTTTAGGGTTTAGGGTTTCGGGTTTCGGGTTTCGGGTTTAGCGTTTGGGGTTTGGGGCTTGGGGGTTGGGGTTTGGGGTAGTATGAACACAAAATCCGGAGAACGCCCCTTTTCTGGGAGGCCCGTCCTTGTGGGCTTCACTGTTTGAGGCTGAGTATGTATAAGATCCAGGAAATTAAGGCTGAGTTGCAGTTTGAAGTATAGGAACTTGAGTATGAGTATGAAAGGCTCAGGGCTTCGAGTTATTGCAGCATCGACAACCGTGAAGCCACAGACACCGGTCATCGATGGGTGTCGGTGATGCTCACAGCATGTCTGGCTATGGGGTGACAGCCCAGAAATTCGGGGGTACCTTCTTGGGGCCCTCATTAATCAGGGGATCCTACTATTTGGCTCAACCCCAAACACTAAGCCCAAAAACCCTAAACCCTAAACCCTAAACCCTAAACCCTTATCGTAAACCCCCAGTTCTGTAATTTATCCGAACGAGCCTTCAAGCCACCTACCAGGCCTTATCCATCTCCGCGGCGCGCCGCCGCCTTACCTGGCCCAGCGCAGCCGACGCCCGGAACCTAAGGAGGGTTCAGGGTTTAGGGTTTAGGGTATAGGGTTTAGGGTTTAGGGTTTAGGGTTTAGGGTTTAGGGTTTAGGGTTTAGGGTTTAGGGTTTAGGGTTTAGGGTTTAGGGTTTAGGGTTTAGGGTTCAGCATCTCAAGTTCGAGCATTTACTAGGCCAGCAGTGTGTGTAGGCAACGGAAAAAAACCCACCCACCCAGAGAATCCCAAAACATTAAGAAAATAAAAAAATTACATTTCTTACCAGCAAGCCCTGTCCTCCAACCTCACTCCGTCATGGACCATCCTACCCACGAACCATTTCATCGGCCCCCATGGAGGGGCGGGACTTTGAAACCGTCGGTTTTAGGGAAGGTAAGGGTGGGGGGTGGGGGGGGGGGTGGGGGGGGGGGGTGGGGGGGTGGGGGGGGTGGGGGGGGGGGGGGGGGGGGTGGGGGGGGGTGGGGGGGGGGGGGGGGGGGGGGGGTGGGGGGGGGTGGGGGGTGGGGGGGGTGGGGGGGGTGGGGGGGGGTTGGGGGGGGGGGGGGTGGGGGGGGTTGGGGGGGGGGTGGGGTGGGAGGGGGGGGGGTGGGGGGGGGGGGGGCTTGGGTTGTCGCAGCTGGCAATCAGAGTAACTCAGTGGCCGACCACGCGAACGCGATTGCGGCTGGTCCTGCCAGCAAGGCAAAGGCCCACAAGCGGGCCAAAAAATCAGCGGTCCCCCTACACCCCAAAACGCCTACACCCCAAGACCCTAAACCCCTCAACCCGCTTAAGGGGGGGGTTTCCGAAATTAGGGGTCCCTTGTTGGGGTCCTTATTACCAGGGAATCCTACTATTTTGGGGTCTATATTCGGGGTCCCTTCTATTCGTAAACCTTCAGATCCCTCAATCATCGACTGGGTAGGCCTGCGCTGCGTCGAAGCAGTCGGCCAAGGGAGCTTGCACCCCTGCCCAAGACAGAAGGCTCGACTTTTAGAATCAGCATAGTGGTCCCTGAACCCTAAACCCTAAACCCTAAACCCTAAACCCATATAGGGGGGGTGGGTGGGGGTGGCTCCTCTTCCAGAACGGGGGGAGGTACCCAAGCCGAATCGTCTCCCGATGAGTCGGGGCCTGTTGAGGCTGGAGCCCGGCTCGCCCGACCTCGGCACCCAGGGTTTAGGGTTCAGGGTTTAGGGTTCAGGGTTTAGGGTTTAGGGTTCTTAGGGTTTAGGGTTTAGGGTTTAGGGTTTAGGGTTTAGGGTCTAGGGTCTAGGGTTTAGGGTCTAGGGTCTAGGGTTTAGGGCTTAGGGCTTAGGGTTTAGGGTTTAGGGTTTAGGGTTTAGGGTTTAGGGTTTAGGGTTTCGGGCTTCTAACTTCGAACTTCGAAGCTGAGGGCGCGGGCAGCGAAGCGGCCTGAGCTCTGGCCTGCGCCAGGACTGAGGCCTGCTTGCGCCGCAGCACCTGAGCAGACGCTGCAAGGGTGTGGCTTTTAATCGCAGGCCCTTCGGGCGGCGTGAAGGCTGATGATAAGTCTTGATGATAACTCTTGCGATATGCGGAGCCATCGGCAGTGGATAGGCCTCTCATTATCTCAGCCTCAGCCGATCAAAGCCCAGCCACATTAGCCAACTCCGATTTGCCGCCTCCAGGTCAGAGAAGGTTGCTGTCCACTTGGCCCGCCAGCGCTCGCTTTCCGCCTGCCAAGAAGCCGGATCGGAGATCGGATCTCATGTCGCAGTGGCCGGGCCTGGGCCCTGCCAAGTTCTGCCACTAGGCTCTTGGATTGGTCCCAACCTGTAGGTCATCAGGGTCGTGAAAGTGGGGAGCCCATGAGAAATCGGGGGGGACGCGGGGGGGGGGGCCTTGAGTTGAGCACGACGAGCCTTTTTTTTCTCCCTTCTCAGTAGGCGGCTCAGGAACAAAGCAGAGCCGGCAACTCCGGAAACCTTGCGTTGCCTACGTTCAAAAGCTGCCAGGCACATTAACGTCTAAGGGACGATCACGCGATGTCTGCACGATCACCTCGAGACCAGAGTCTGCGTTCCCCCGTCGGCGCACAGATCAAGCATCCCACGCCGCAAGGGTAACTACATGGGGGTTTACGAAAAGAAGGGATACCCTAACATAGACTCCCAAAGTCGTAGAATTCCCTTCTCATAAGGACCCCAAGAAGGTACCCCTAATTTTGGAAAACCCCCACATCTCACTAACTACAGCGCCCACGCCTCACAGCTTCGACTTGCCTTCAGCGTCGTCAGGAGAACGTCTTATAGAGATCTTGCCCTTCAAAAAACAAAGACTAATAATAAGCAGAAGAAGGATGCTAATAATAAGAAGAAGAAGTATTATTTATTGAACGCTGAGCGAGCGGGCTCTGCTCATTGCGGGCGATTTGCACCGTCTGAGCACCGAAAATTGGGTTGGAGCTAATGGTTAGGAGAGGTGAAACTGAATTCAACACTGAAAAGAAAGGTGAGACTTTACAGGATTTGGGATCAGAAATGCAGAGCTAGCTAGCTAATGAAAGATGAGTTGTAGCTTAGCGTTCAGATGTGAAAAAGGTCTTCTCCCCGTCGTCCTAAAGTGTCTCGCTGCGTCCAGCAAACACGCACCGATCTGCAATTGGGTCGTACCTGTCGGCCGTCTCCCATAGTGTCCATCTAGTGGCGTCGCACACTTATTGGGGGACAGATGGGCACTTGGCTGCGCTCCTCGCCACTTGCGCCTCTGGACTGGGAGCAAATCGCTCCTCCGTCTTCATCACTGGAGCTCCCGGCAGTGGGAAAACACGCTCATGCGCTTTCATGGGAGTCCTGGTCGCTAGCCTTACCAGCAAACTCACCCTCTATATTGCCCATGGCAATGAGTCGGTGAGAGCTTACATAGAAGCCGCGGACCGGTTGACCGCGGGGAGCAACAGCTTTATCCGAAGTCGCATAGTAAGAGTCCCAGCCAGTCGTGAGAAGGACACACATAAACTCCCCTTCGACGCACATGACGCGGGGCCTGGCCTTCTAGTGGCTGCCACACATGGCACTATCATTGCACGCCTCAGCTTTCCTTACTCGGTATTGGTCAATAGGCTGAAGGAGGTAGAGATCCTTTTACGAGATGAAGCGCAACAATTGGGGACCCCAGGATCCAACTGCCACATAGATCACTGTGCAGAAAGGCAGAGGATCGTAGGAGTTCAGCTGACTGGGATAGCGCTTGGAGGCTGAGCGTCGGGCAGTGGGCTTGCTGCCGGCAGGGCATCATGCTGATTTCACTGCGGCGACCAAACTATGGGTTACACCATTTGCTGGCTTAGTAACCTCAGGCACATTTAACAAGTGTTTAGTGCATTCAAACGCAGAATGCGCGTTGCTGCAGAATTTGTCAAAATTGGAAAGGTTGTGACCTCAGTTTTCCTCTCCTTCACTCGGGGCCAATGTGGTGATATTGTGTTGATCGAGAGGGCTTCGACAGGCTGTGCCCGTCCTTTTGGAACTGCAGTGCAGAACATTTCGCTTGGCTAGTTTGAGCTCATGTGAGCTGCTAAGTCACGCTGTCCCACAAGTAGATTCAAGTGCCTGCGCTTGCGCTTGTCGCAGAAGCAGCACTTAGCTTCCAAATTGCAAAGGACCTAGCCATGAAGCTGAATTGAACAGCATGCAAGGACTAGCCAGGCTAAAATGTATGGAGAAAGTTGACATGTAGGCGAGTCCCAATCAGGGAGTAGAGCGCTGATTGTGTAGACGCTATCGGCTATGACGGCGGTTTTTCCGCTATGGCTGCATGGAAAGGGTGTGCTGCTCAGAGTCTCGTGGACCCCGCTGGCGGTCCACCAGGGTAAACCACTCAAGGTGGCAATTCTGGTATCCGCACCTGTGTGGATTACTGACGTTAGAACGTTTCAGGCCAGCCACATCCCTTGATTGAACCACTACTGGGTTTCGGGCGCTCTAACCGAATAGTGTCTGTGTGCGGCTGCTGCATTGCTCGGAGCTGCTCCTCCTCACAAGGAAGAGTCCTGGCACCAATGGTGCACCCTTACCACCTGCAGGTCAGCGCCAGCTTCCATAGCAAAAGCAGCTTGTCCGTGGCTCTGCTACCCAGCGGAGTTGCGTGGGTTACTTGAAAACGTCGTGGTTTTGAGCTTCCTGCTGTTGTGACCAAACTCTGGGTCACATTGATTGCTGGTTGAGTGGCATATTTAGCAAGTGTTTATGTGCATTCAAGCGCAGACTGCACGATGCTGCAGAAGTTGTTAGGATAGGAAAAGGCTGTGACCACAGTTTTCCCCTCCCTCTCTCAAAGCCAGTGTGGTGAAATATGGCTGTTCGAGAGGGCTTCGACAAGCTGTGCCCGTCTTGTACTTTTGTACTTTGGATGACGCAAACAGTCCATCTGTCTCGCGCTACGCTACAAGGCACAGTGGCATCGGCTCGTGTGAGCATATACAACAACCTGAACCTACATGGCGAACCAGAGGCAGCGTTCAGCAAAGGCGACACGAATGTCAAATCACCATATGAAGCTAGACAGGCAGGCATCGTCTAACCCGACAAACAGGAATGATAGACGTATGTACACATATGTTACAGCCTGTTGAAATCACAGCGTGCTCAGAGTGTTTGTGTCAGAAAAACAGCTGGTACCGATAAATCATACCACGGGAAAGCCACAGAATAGTCAGCGAGGCAACATGGAAATACTGACTGCCACGAACCAAGATGGATTCAATCAATAACCACAGCGGTTGGTGATGCGGAGGACGGCGTAATACCAATATTGGTGAGAATCCATCTTTCTTTGGGTGACAGAACCGGCTGACGAACATGATACGCAATCAGAATGAGTCTATCCCCACCTTCCCATGGCATGGTTGCATGAAGCTTGGTGGCATCGACATCGATGGCTACCATGGGTGGCGATATCGGAATAATGCTGCCGGGGACTGTGGCAGCCTGAATGTAGTCACGTCCTTGGGGGTCAGCTACCCATATTTGTCCTCCTCTCCACCTGTTTAGCGGAATGATGAGATTGTGAATACCAGGTTCGTTTTTGTCAATATGCGGGGATGTAAGAATGTTCCTATGGAACGCCAGCGACGTGTAGCATGCTGTGGGGCAGAGACCCTTAACGCAGGAGGCTAGCAACCGGCAAACATTCGGAAACTGCGTGGTGTTGGACATGAGTCCACACATCGGTCCATGCCGGCATGCACCACAGCAAAAGAGCTTCCCGTTTGTTTGTTCCAAGTCGACCACGCTGCTTCTGCGAGAGTGTGAGACGGGCGGCAATGAGTCCATCAACTTACCAAAATCCGCAAATGACGCCCATCCAACACATAAAAGGTCAAAAGCAAAGCGTTCTGCGCTGGTTGTGTTGGAGTCGGGCGCAATAAGGGTGTCAGGCACAGGTGCCAGTTGTATCCACATCTGCACGTCCTTCATGTTCCATCGGATTGTGTTGTCACATCCCGCTTCTTCATCAGAATCGCTGATGGTGATATCCGGGGCTTGAAGCTGCCGTAGTGGTGGAAAGGCCATAGATGCCACTGTCTGATGATGAAACCTGCACAAAGGCCAGAGTGTAACTACTATGAGAGATGCTGCTCCAGTCTGCGTGCAGATGCATGTCCAGCTTTTAACAGAGAAGGGCTGCAGGGTTAAGGCTGCGAAGAAGGCGCAATGGCTGGCAAGCAGCGAAAATCGTGCAACTGTTTGCTCTGCGCGGTCAGTTGCTTAACCGCCAACATCACTTTCAGTCGACGAGGACTGCAGAGCCCCCAGGCTCCGCAGGTGTGTGTAAACTGGATATGAAGATCAAGTATGCGTTGCGCAGTATCTGCTGAGTGTCTTGTGGGGAGGGAGATCCTGCAACACAATGTCTCACTGTCCCGCAAGTACTCTCAAATGCCTGCACTTGTCTCTGATGCAACTCTTAGCTGCAAAAATGCAAAGGACCAGCAGTGAAGGTGGAATGGAACAGCGTGCAGGACCAGCCAGGCTTTAGCTGTTCATGGAGATAGTTACCATAAAGACAGGTCCCGGCCAGGGAGCAGAGCGCTGATCATGTAGACTCTATCGGCTATGACTGTGGTGTTTCCCCCATGGCTGCATGGAAAGGGTGTGCTGCTCAGAGTCTCGTGGACCCCGCTGGCAGTCCACCAGGGTAAACCGCTCGAGGCGGCATTTCTGGCATCCGCACCTATGTGGATTGCTGACATTGGAACATTTTAGGCCAGCCACAGTCCCTTGGTTGAACCAGAGCTTGTTTTCGGACGCTTTAGCCTATGAGAGTATTTGTGCGGCTGCTGTATTGCTCAGAACTGCTCCTCTCCCCAAGAGAGAGTAGCGGCACCCAAAGGTGCACCCTTACTGCTTAGAAGTTTTAGCTGAATGTTGGGCCAGCTTCCAAAGCAAAAGCGGCTTGTCTATGGCTCTGCTTCCTGGTGAAATTGCGAGGGTTGCATAGAAAAAGTCATGACTCTGAGCTCCTTGCTGATGTGATCAGACGCTGGAGCACCCCGGCTTCTTGCAGAGTAACCTTGGGCACATTTAGCTTGTGTTTGTGTGCATACAAGCGCTGACTGCAAGAAGCTGTCTTATTATGGCAATAAGCAGAAGCTGTGACTGCAGTTTCATCTCCTGCGCTCTGAGCCAATTTGGTGAGATTTTGTCGGCTAAAGAAGGCTTGGACAGGCTGTGCCCGCCTTGCTGAACTGCAGTGCAGAACAGTCTTCTTTAACTTGTTGAGCTCATGTGAGCTTCAATGTCACAATGCTGGTGAAGGCGGTCAGTCTGTCT